CCCATAGCACTTCAGCCTGGGTGACAGAGTGAGACTTCATCTCAAAGAAAAGAATAAAGATTTGGTTTGATTTTTCTTTTCTCTCTCTCTTTTTTTTTTTTTTTTTTTTTTTTTTTAAGACGGAATCTTGCTCTTGTCACCCAGGTTGGAGTAAAGTGGCCTGATCTCCACTCACTGCAACCTCCACCTCCCGGGTTTGGATTCAAATGATTCTCCCAGCTCAGCCTCCCCAGTAGCTAGGATTACAGGCACCCACCACCACGCCCAGCTAATTTTTGTATTTTTAGTAGAGATGGGGTTTCACCATGTTGGCCAGGCCGGTCTCGAATTCCTGACCTCAAGTGATCTGCCCACCTCGGCCTCATAAAGTACTGGGATTACAGGTGTGAGCCATTACACCCAGCCTGATTTAGCTTGATTTTAAACTATATGCTTTTCAAGAGATGCCTAAAACAAAATGACACAAAAAGCTGAAAATATAAAGATCAATTAAAATGTACAGGGCAAAATGTTAGCAAAAATAAAGGAGGAGTTTTGATGACAATAGCAAAGTCAAATTTACGGGGAAAATATGAAATAGAAATTAAGGGAGTACTATTTTTTTTGAGATAGAGCCTTGCTCTGTTGCCCAGACTGGAGTGCGGTGGCGCTTCTCTGCTCACTACAACCTCCGCCTCCTGTAAGCAATTTTCCTGCCTCAGCCCCCCAAGTAGCTGGGATTATAAGCATGTACCACCATGCATGGTTAATTTTTGCATTTTTTAGTAGAGACGAGGTTTTGCTACGTTGTCCAGGCTGTTCTCGAACTCCTGACCTCAAATGATCTGCCTGCCTCGGCCTCCCAAAGTGCTGGAATTACAGGTGTTAGCCACTGTGCCCAGCTCAAAAGGGAGTAGTTTATAATGAATAAAACTTCAAATCATATAGAAGATATCAATGTCATGAACATTTAAACATCAAATAATAGCATCAAAAGATAAAAAGCAAAATGTTCATGACATAGAACAATAACTTCTTTTAATCATTGACAAAGTAGTTAAGGACAAAGAAGACATAAATAAAATAAATATTCCCCCCTATATTGGTTCAGTTGCATAAAACAGAATCCTCTCCAATCAGTTCAAGCAGAAAGGAATTCATTACAGGGTATCAACTAGTTCATATCAGTAGTTCACTAAGTGTGGCCCTAGAAACAGCAGCATCACTATCACCTGCAAATTTGTTAAAATGCAAATTTCTAGTCCTACCTCAGACCTACCAAATTAGAAATCCTGGATGGGGTCAGCACCTTGTGTTTTAACAAGCCCTTCAAGGGATTCTGACACACACTCAAACTCAAAAACATTTGCATAAATGATCACTGGGAGGGTTGGGGGAAAAACAGTTGGTAGGAACACAAGTGCTGATCAAACTGCTAAGTTGCTCTTATTTACAACTGCTGGCTCAAGAACTGTATGCTGGGCTGGGCACAGTGGCTCAAGCCTGTAATCCCAGCACTTCGAGAGGCCAAGGTGGGAGGATCGCTTGAGACCAGTAGTTCATGACCAGTCTGGGCAATACACCAAGACTTCGTCTCTGCAAAAAAAAAAAAAAAATTTTTTTTAATTAGCTGAGGCTAGGTGTGGTGGCTCATACCTATAATCCCAGCATTCTGGGAGGCTGAGGCAGTGGATCACCCGAGGTCAGTGGTTCTAGACCAGCCTGGCCAAAGTGGTGAAACCCCATCTCTACTAAAAAATACGAAAATTAGGGAAAGAAAAAAAAAATCGGTCTTAGCTACTTGGGAGGCTGAGGCTGAAGGATCACTATGCCCAGGAGTTGAAGGCTGCAGTAAGCTATGATTGTGGCACTGCACTCCATCTCCACAGAGCAAGACCCTGTATCTAAAAATAAAAAATAACAGGCCGGGTACAGTGGCTCATGTGTGTAATACTAGCACTTTGGGAGGCCAAGGCAGGCAGATCATCTGAGGTCAGGGGTTCGAAACCAGCCTGGCTAACATGATGAACTCTCCTCTCTACTAAAAATACAAAAACTAGCTGGCCATGGTGGTGCATGCCTATAATCCCAGCTACTCGGGAAGCTGAGGCAGGAGAATCGCTGGAACCCAGGAGGCAGAGTGTGCAGTAAGCTTAGATCACACCACTGCACTCCAGTCTGGGCAACAGAATGAGATTCCATATCAAAAAAATAAATAAATAAAAATTAAAAAATAACAAAACATGGCTGGGCGCGGTGGCTCACGCCTGTAATCCCAGCACTTTGGGAGGCCGAGGCAGGTGGATCACGAGGTCAAGAGTTCGAGACCATCCTGGTCAACATGGTGAAACCCCGTCTCTACTAAAACTACAAAAAATTAGCTGAGCATGGTGGCGCGTGCCTGTAATCCCAGCTACTAAGGAGGCTGAGGCAGGAGAATTGCCTGAACCCAGGAGGCGGAGGTTGCGGTGAGCCGAGATCGCCCCATTGCACTCCAGCCTGGGTAACAAGAGCGAAACTCCGTCTCAAAAAAAAAATAAATAACAAAACATATGCTATGATGAGAAACCACCTGCTGAATCAAGAAGCTCCTACCACAGCCAATGGCTCCATAAACAAGTTGTGTCTGTAGTAATCAAGTGACCTAACTAAATGGGAAAGCTGCTTCTCTGGCTCCCAGAACCTTATCACTGCCAAAATCTGCACTAACAAATACATGCCTGCTGGTCTGCCTTTCTCCTCTCTAAAATCAGATTCAAATTTGAGTTCTCCAGGAGCACATCTGACTTGTAAAACCTAAATCATATTCAGAATCTTGGATGCAAAAAGTTCCAGAAAAGGAAATTTCTTACTTTCCAGGCTCTCAAATGGAGGCTGCTCATTCAGTCACATCCCACCTACCTCAGGGTTCAAAGTGGGATCAGTTTCTTCAATTCCTCTCCAATGCCACTTGCAGATCAGCAGTCCCACACACCCCCATCTTGTAAAAACCTTGTTACTTTGATGCTCAGAACATTCAGCTAAACCGCAGCTACTCGCTTTGTTATCACTCTCTGAACCTTGTCATCACCCAAACCTCTTAACCTCCAAAATCACTAAAACATCCAACTATCTGATCTCCCATCATTATAGCCAGACTGCTCAAACACTATCACTATTATTTATTCTCCAACTACATCAAGCCACTATCCCTTGATCGCTCCAATTTCTCCCTATGTCAGCCACATCCTATCTAGTTTAGATTTCTTCATTTCAATCAGGTACTTGTTGATATTCTTTCTGTCTTTTTGTTCCACGTGCTTAGCAAAACTCAATCCCTGATAGGTCCAACCATCCAACTCTTCCACATGTAAACCTAAGTTGCTGAGCACTGGCAATCTCACTTTCTCTCTAGTCAGCCCTTACATGCTCTCCCCTGACACATTATCTGATCCCCTGGTTCCCTGCAGGTAATTTTGCTTTTGATTTCCGAAAACAAAATCAAAGTCATTGGATGGGAGGTACTTCAACTTCTTGCCAAGGAAGCTAACACTCCCTGTCTCTGAAACCCTCTCATTCACTCTCTAACAACAAACCTTCCCCTTGTGTTCTAGCCCCATTCCCCCATCTCCTAAGAGAACTGGAGTTATTGTTTATCCATTTCCTTTCCATTGGCTCCTTCCAAGCAGCATTTAAATATGTTTATAATTCTCATCTTCACACATAACTATCCTTCACCCCATATTCCTCCTCTTCCTCCTCCCACTAATATTCTCCTCCTTTCTCTCACAGTCAAACTTTTAAGGGTTTTCTGTCCTTGATTATTTTGATTTCCCTGCATCATCCTAACAAGCATATTGTCCCCCAACTCATCAGTGAAGCTAAAATCATTAATAAACACTGTATCATTAATCCAATGGACACTTCTCAGCCTCATTCAACTTGACCTCTCAGCAGCTCCAACACTACTTTGTCGAAACATTCACTTTTCTTGATAAGCAATTCACGAGCAGCAAACTGCCGGTGTTTCACAAAATCCTCAATTTTTTACAGTTGTCTCATTCACAACTATTTGGCAGCTTTTCTGTTTGCAAACTCACCTCCTTTGTCGTTCCAAAGCATTCAATTTAGTTTTAGTTTGCTTTCTTTACTTTTTTAGAATTGTTTTTACAAAACTTTTACTTGATATAAAATACTATAAAGATAGCAGCAAAAGGCCAGGTGCACTGGCTCATGCCTGTAATCCCAGCACTATGAGAGGTGGGTGGATCACGAGGTCAGGAAATGGAGACCATCCTGGCCAACATGGTGAAACCCCACCTGTACTAAAAAGACAAAAATTAGCTGGGTGTGGCCACACATGCCTGTAATCACAGCTACTCGGGAGACTGAGGCAGGAGAATCACTTGAACCCAGGAGGCAGAGGTTGCAGTGAGCCAAGATCGCACCACTACACTCCAGCCTGGACAACAGAGCTAGACTCTGCCTCAAAAAAAAAAAAAAAAAAAAGCAGCAAAACGAACATCTATGGTTCAACTTAGTTTTTTTTTTTTTTTTTTTTTTTTTTTTTTTTTTACAACAGTCTTCCTCTGTCTCCCAGACTGGAGTGCAGTGGCATGATCTCGGCTCACTGCAGCCTCCGCCGCCCGGGTTCAGGCGATTCTCCTGCCTCAGCCTCCTGAGTAGCTACGATTATAGGCATGCGCCACCACGCCCAGCTAATTTTTGTATTTTTAGTACAAATGGGTTTCACCATGTCGGCCAGGCTGGTCTCAAACTCCCAATCTCAGATGATCCACCCACCTTGCCCTCCCAATCAACTTAGTTTTAATAGAAACAATAACTTTTTCATATTAAAAATTTCTTTCCCCTGTAACCCAGGCTGAAGTGCAGTGGTGCCATCACGGCTCAATGCCCCTTGATCTCCTGGGCTCAAGCGATCCTCCCATCTCAACCTCTCAGGTCGCGGGGATCACATGTGCATACCACCAGGCCTAGCTAATGTTTACTCTTTTGTAGAGACAGGGTCTCAACTATCTTACCCAGGCTGGTCTCAAACTCCTGGGCCCAAGTGATCCTCTTGCTTCAACTTCCAAAGTGCTAGGATTACAGGTTTACAGGATTACAGGTTACAGGTTTACAGGATTACAGGTTGAGTCACCACGCCCAGCCTATAACATATATATAAAGACAAAGCAACTGACATTAAAAAAAAAAAAAAAAAAAAAGCTGGGAGCCTGGACAACATAATGAAACCCCGCCTATAATTTTTTTTTTTTTTTGACACAGAGTTTTGCTCTGTTGCCCAGGCTGGAGTGCAGTGGTGCGACCTTAGCTCACAGCAACCACCACCTCCCCGGTTCAAGTGATTCTCCTGCCGCAGCCTCCTGATTAGCTGGGGTTATAGGCATGTGCCACCACACCAGGCTAATTTTTGTATTTTTAGTAGAGACAGGGTTTCACGGTGTTGGTCAGGCTGGTCTCGAACTCCTGACCTCGGGATCCGCCAGCCTTGGCCTCCCAAAATGCTAAGATTACAGGCCTCAGCCACTGTGCCCAGCCAAAAAATATATTTTTTAATAAGCTGGGTGTGGTGGCACATGCCTGGAGCTCTAGTTACTTGAGAGGCTGAGGCAGGAGGATCGTTTGAGCCCAGGAGTTCAAGGCTCCAGTGAGCTGTGGTTACGGGACTGTACTCCAGCCTGGGTGACAGAGCAAGACCTTGTCTCAACAACAACAATAACAACAAAAGTGAGAACCAATACAGTAACTCTTGGCAAGCATTCGGCTCAACTAGGAGAAGCAAACTGAGCAGGTCCACAGGGGAAAAACCTACAAGCTTCAAGGATTTACAGAGGAAATAGGGTATGTCGGTTAACATTAGGAGCTAGTTAAACAGAAATCTGTTGAGAGCTTCTATACGTGTCTTAAGGATTTTCTAGGCCAGACGCCGTGACTCACGCCTGTAATCCCAGCACTTTGGGAAGCCAAGACAGATCACTTCAGGTCAGGAGACAAGCCCAGCCAACATAGTGAAATCCCATCTCTACTAAAAATACAAAAATTAGCCAGGCTTGCTGGCAGGTGCCTGTAATCCCAGCTACTTGGGAGGCTGAGGCAGGAGAATCACTTGAACCCAGGAGGCAGAGGTTGCAGTGAGCCAAGATCATGCCACTACACTCCAGCCTGGGTGACAGAGAGAGACTCCTTAAACAACAACAAAAAAAAGGATTTTCTATATCAGTACACATATGTTTATCTCATTCTTCCTAATTGCTATATGGCATTCCATAGAATTATTTAGACAATCTCATTTAATGAACAATTGCATTAAAATACTATTAAAAACAATACTGCAATAAATATTCTAGTACAAATCTCTTCAATAATAATAAATTATTTTTCTAGAATAATCATCTGGACATGGAATTACCATACTACACTGAAGAATAGGCACATTTCAAAATTTAACAGATACTGCCAAACAGCTCAACAAAATGAAAACTATTTATGTATGTTAGTACCCATTTTATCACATCCTTACTGATCTTTTTAATTTTTGACAACCTGATAAGTGAAAGAATTCTTCCCTACTCTATTTATTTACACTAATAATTGGTGTTAGCAACTTCCTTCTATATATTGGACATTCATATGTCTTTTATGAATTGCCTGTATATATAATTTGCCTATTTCCACAGTTTTCTTTTCTCTATTGATCTGTGGAAGTTATTTATGCTGCTAGTAGTTTCTCTGCCTACTTTTACATTTGTTTGTAGTATTTCTTGCCAAACTAAAGTTTAAAAAAAATTTTTAAGAGTTTTGCTTTTGTTGTCCAGGCTGGAGCATAATGGCATGATCTCAGCTCACTGCAACCTGCCTCCCAGATTCAAGCGATTCTCCTGCCTCAGTCTCCTGTGTAGCTGTGCTTATAGTCACCTGCCACCATGCCCAGCTAATTTTTGAATTTAAACAAATTTTTTGTGTTGTTTTTTTTTTTTGAGACAGTCTCCATGTGGCCCAGGCTGGAGTGCAATGGCATGATCTTGGCTCACTGCAGCCTCCGCCTCCTGAATTCAAGCAATTCTCTTGCCTCAGCCTTCCAAGCAGGCAGTGTGCCACCATATGCAGCTAATTTTTGTATTTTTAGTAGAGACAGGGTTTCACCATGTTGGACAGACTGGTCTCAAAAGCCTGACCTCAGATAATCCACCTGCCTCAGCCAGCCAAAGTGCTGGGATTGCAGGCATGAGCCACCTCGCCCTAAACATAGTCTCTCTTTTTTTTTTTTTTTTTTTTCTTTTTTTTTTTTTTTTGAGACAGTGTCTCCCTCTGTCACCCAGGCTGGAGTGCAGTGACATGATCTTGCCTCACTGCAACCTCTGCCTCCTGGATTCAAGCAACTCTTCTGCCTCAGCCTCCTACATAGCTAGGATCATAGTCACACGCCTCCATGCCCGGCTAATTTTTCTATTTTTAGTATACATGGGGTTTCCTCATGCTGGCTGGACTGGTCTCGAACTCCTGACCTCAGGTGATCCAGTCCACTTCAGCCTTCCAAAGTGCTAGGATTGCAGGAACGAGCACCACACTCAGCTCTCTTATTTTCTTCTAAGAATTTTTCTAATTTTGGATCTTACATCTAGTTCTCTAGTTCATTTAGAATTTCGAGGATAAAAGATATGGGTATTTACTTGTTCAGCACTTATCTTCCCTACAAGTTTCATAAGATAGGGATCTTACCTGTCTGATTATTGTATTAAAACCTGGTACATGGTAAGTGCAATAATTAACTTCTGTTGACTGTGTAACTGACTCAAGGCACAAAAATCCTTTTAAGAAGGCACTTCTCATGGAAGGCAGCAGCAGGATGTGGTGGTGTATTTCCATGTATGATTTTATAATATAAATTTTGAATACACAGTAAAGGAATAGATGATCAGTAAATTTGTACTAGAGTTTATAAAATCTTACACTGCACCCCAAACTGTCTGGTTTCCTTGCTGCTCCAGGATGCCAGCCTGACCTACCCAGCCAAGAAAAAGTAATGACACAACACTGCACCTCAAATATGAAATTACTTTAAACAACTGATTGGCTTAATAAACTGTTTCCTACAGTTTCCTACGGTACAACCGGGGGTATGCAAAATAATTTTAATGGTACGAAAACAAACATTTTAATGACTAGTGCTTTTATTTCAACTTACATAAACTATAAGTAGTCCATAAAACCCAGAATTTCATTCATAATGCTTAGATCGAGATAAATGGATTTAAACTTTTTAAATAATTCAAAGAGAACTATTCAGAAAATAATAGTACAGTTGATAAGAAGGGATGGCAAAAATAGTGACGATGGCACAGGATTGACTTAAACTTGTATATGCCTCTGGGGCAAAAAGGTTTGTCCATACCCTATACATCCCTCCAACAAAGTTAGTTACCTCTGGCGGAGTTCAAGTCGCCACCTCTGCCTTCCCCAACAGACAGCCAACTTGCCACGGGACAAAAGGACTAGACGGAAACATAACTGGCCCTTGGCTACGCCAATGGCGTTGCAGCGCGCGGGGCACAACCCTCGGGGTTAAAGAGCTTCCTCGAAAAGGATGGGACACAGCTGAGATTGACCCAGAACCACTCTAGGGGCCATCACCTGCTCTTCTTCAGTCCCAGGCGTGAAGGCAGCTTTCTCTACTAGCCTGTGTGAGAGAGGAGCCCTGGTTTTTCTAAGACCAAGGACTACGGTAGGTTGGCCGAGTTCGAGGGACACTACATAAGCAGCGCCGACGGCCGGACACAGGCTGCCGCGTTACCGACACAGCGTGGGGGGAGGAGGGCAAAACCCGAGGCTTGCTGAGGGGGGGGGTGCACGGTGGCCACAGTAGTGAAGGTGCGGAGCATGATGGTGCTCTGTAAGAGCGCAGACGCTGAAAGGGGCGCTGCTGTGGCAGGGAGAAGAGCGGAGCCAGATTTTGTTCCCAATATCTTAGTGCTATGGTAAAAGAAGGGGGAAGAGTAATCGTGGGACCCCCCACACACCCGCAGTGGCGGTACACTCACCCTCGCCAAAGTCCTTCCGGAAGTCTAAGTTCGAAGATGGCGCCGCCTGTCTGGTCGCGATCTTATGACGAAATCTTGTTAGCTGCTCTTCTCTGACGCCCCCACCCCAGTGCACAAGGTAAACACGTGAGCTTGGTCGCGAGTCGGTGCCGCGCTAGTTTTCTCTTAGACTCTGTATTCCATAATGCAGTGCGGCCAGAGTCACCGAGCCCTCCGGAGCCGGCCGATTTCCAGGGCGTCTTCAGCGAAGCCGGGGACGCTGCAGGGCCTCATGGGAGTTTCAGTGTCAAAAGGGGAGATCGACGCCTGCGCGGCCAACGGGTTCCCACGCGGCCTCGACGGGAGCCGGGAGGAGGCGGACGCCCTACCCAGGCTTGCGCTCTAGATCGTTGAATCCTGCCTTTAAGGCCACATGGCCGCGCCTGTGGCCCTAGGAGCCGGCTGGACCTGAAAGTTTGTACCTGCAACCTGGCGGCGTACGAGGCCAAGACAAGTCTGGGAGACAAAGAAGTCCTCGCCGCCGGCCGCTGGAAAATGACTCCACCTTCTGCCTGTAGCGAAGTCAGGGATGGGCCAGAGAGAGCTTGGAAAGAGGACAGACAAGGAAGGGAAGGAGTAGGAGTAGAAAAGGATGGCTTTGGCTGAGCGTGGTGGCTCATGCCTGTAATCCCAGCACTTTGGGAGGCCAAGGCGGGGGAGGATCACTTGAGCCCAGGAATTCGAGACCAGCCTGGGCAACATAGTGAGATCCCGTCTCTTTCCTTTTTTTTTTTTTTTTTTTTTTTTTTTGAGACGGAGTCTTGCTCTTTCCCCAAGCTGGAGTGCAATGATGCGATCTCAGCTCCCTAGAACCTCCACCTCCCGGGTTCAAGCAGTTCTCCTGCCTCAGCCTCCCGAGTAGCTAGGATTACAGGCACACGCCACCAAGCCCGGCTTTTTGTTTTTTTAGTAGAGACAGGGTTTCACTATGTTGGCCATGCTAGTCTCGAACTCCTGACCTCGTGGTCTGCCGCCTCAGCCTCCCAAAGTGCTGGGATTACAGGCATGAGCCACCACGCCTGGTGAAACCCTGTCTCTATTTAAAAAAAAAAAAAAGGAGCCCTGGCTCGGTGACTCATGCCTGTAATCCCAGCACTTTGGGAGGCCAAGGCTGAGGGATCACTGAAGGTCAGGAGTTCGAGACCAGCCTGGCCAACTTGGTGAAACCCCGTCTCTACTAAAAATACAAAGCTACCCTACCCGGGTATGGTGGCGCACCTTTAGTCAGGAGGCTGAGGCAGGAGAATCGCAAAAAAGAGAAAAATGTGGCCTGAGGCCGGCAGGCTGTACTATGACAGTGAGCCCTGGCCTTGGTCCTTGCCCTTGGTCAGAGGTTTTGCCCCCATTCCTTTTTTTATTTTAATTTTAATTTTTTAATTTTATTTTTTAAAATTTATTTAAATAAAGACGGGGTTTCACCATGTTGGTCAGGCTGGTCTTGAACTCCTGACCTCAGGTGATGCGCCCACCTTGGCCTCCAAAGTGTTTGGATTAGAGGCATGAGCCACCGCGCCTGGCCTGCCCCATTCTGTCAAAGGTAGGTGAGATGCGGTGGAGGAGGAATGAATGCAACAGGTTTCTGTCTTTTCCTGAGGCATCTAAAAGCCATATAAATATCACAGGTCTCTTTTGCTGTTACCAAGACATGAAAAAAAAAATTTTGCAAGTTTCCCCATACCTGGAGGAGAGTGCAGGATGTATAAATGCGGAGAAGGAAGGGGTGGAGTAAACAAACCTTTCTCTGCCCAAGTAATCTCACCCATTAAATTCCCTTGGTTGTGCAATATATGTAAGAAAACTATCAGAGACAGCTAAGACCTAAAAGAGGGAGAAAGCCGAGAGTGGTGGCTCATGCCTGTAATCCCGGCACATTAGGAGGCTGAGGCAGGGGGATCACCTGAGTCAGTAGTTCGGAGATCAGCCTGGCCAATTTGGTGAAACCCCGTCTGAACTAAAAATACAAATTAGCTGGATATGGTGGCGCACACCTGTAATCCCAGCTACTAGGGAGGCTGAGGCAGGAGAATTGCTTAAACCTGGGAGGCAGAGGTTGCAGTGAGCTAAGATCGTGCCACTGCACTCCCACCTGGGCGACAAAGCAAGACTCCATCTCAAAAAAATGAAAATAAAAATAAAAGGGGGAGGAAGGGGACACCCAGTCCCATGAGCCTTCGACTCTGTCTTACCTAGCAATGCTTGTGTGATGGACAGCTCTCACTTTCAAGCATTTACTTCTGTAATGAACAAATCTGTCTCTTCATTCCTGTTTCCTTAGATTAGGCTATCTTTGACTTAAACTATTGCAATTTTTTTTTTTTTTTTTTTTTTTTTTTTTTTTTTTTTGAGATGGAGCCTTGCTTTGTCTCCCAGGCTGAAGTGGATCTTGGCTCAGTGCAACCTCTGCCTCCCGGGTTCAAGCAATTCACCTGCCTCAGCCTCCCGAGTAGCTGGGATTACAGGCACCTGGCACCACACCCGGCTAATTTTTGTATTTTTATTAGAGAAGATGTTTCAACAGGTTGGCCAGGCTGGTCTTGTCCTGATCTCAAGGGATCCACCCACCTCTGTAATCCCAAAGTGCTGGGATTACAGGCGTGAGCCACTGCAAATCTCTTTTTAAAGTAAATAATTATATTTATTCTGGAATAAGACATTCACATGGCTCAAAATTCAAAAGATACCAAGGGTATTTATAAGGTGAAGACTCCGTTCTGCCTCTGTCTCCAGCCATCCAGGCAATTAATCAGTTTCTTGTTTTCAGTCTAAGACATTTTATGTATTTATACTCAAATGTAAATACAGTTGTCTCTCAGTATCCATTTGTTGAGATTTGTTCCTGGACACTGGCAGATACCAATACCTGTGGATGCTCAAGTCTCTTATATAAAACGGCATAGTATGGCCAGGCGCAGTGGTTCACGCCTGTAATTGCAGCACTTTAGGAGGCTGAGGTGGACAGATCACCTGAGGTCAGGAATTTGGGGCCAGCCTGACCAACATGGCAAAACCCCATCTCTACTAAAAATACAAAATTAGCCAGGCATAGTGGCACATGCCTGTAATCCCAGCTACTCAGGAGGCTGAGGCAGGAGAACTGCTTGAAACTGGCAGGCGGAGGTTGCAGTGAGCCAAGACTCTGTCTCAAAAAAAAAAAAAAAATTAGGGTCGGGTGCAGTGGCTCAATCCTGTAATGCCAACATTTTGGGAGGCTGAGGTGGGCAGATCACAAGGTCAGTAGTTAAAGACCAGCCTGGCCAACATAGTGAAACCCCGTCTATACTAAAAATACAAACAAACAAAAAAAAATTAGCCAGGTATGGTAGTGTGCACCTATAATCCCAGCTAGTCGGGAGGCTGAGGCAGGAGAATCACTTGAACCTGGGAGGTGGCGGTTACAGTGAACCGAGATTGTGCCATTGCACTCCAGCTGGGCAACAGTGTGAGACTCTGTCAAAAAAAAAAAGTTCAATAAAACGCATACACATATACCCAGTAGATAACTCTCCATTTTAAGCCAACCAGTGATGGACTCACAATCTGGCCTCAACTTACTTTTGGAGCTTGATCACTCACATTAAACCTCAGTTCTAGCCTCATCATACTACGTGACCCTTTACACTGGCCACTCACTTTAAGGCCTGTTCTTTGTGTTCAAGTTTTTTTTTTTCTTCTCCCAACTGGGAAATTAGTTATCTTTCAAGGACTACGTTAGATGTGACCTGTGAAGTCTTCACCAATCTTTTGTTCATACTACTAGTGGGTTACCTCATTGCAGACAAATCTTCCTATGCCAAGGTAGGTGGTGCTCCTTAAATAGAGCACAAAAGTTAATGGCACATTCTCTGATCCAGACTGCCTGAGGTCACATCCTGGTTTAGCTATTGCCTAGCTGTGTTACCTAGGGCAAGTAATTTAACCTTTCTGTGCCTGAGCTGTGTTGCCTTGGGCAAGTAACTTAACCTTTCTGTGCTTCCATTATCTCATCTGTAAAATCACATTTACTTCATAGAGTTGTATTATTGTTTTTATTTTTAGAGATGGAACCTCGCTTTGTTGCCCAGGCTAGAGTGCAATGGCTCGATCTCGACTGACTGCAACTTTCGTCTCCTGGGTTCAAGCCATTCTCCTGCCTCAACCTCCTGAGTAGCTGAGATTACAAGCATGCACAATCATGCCCAGTTAATTTTTGTATTTTTAATAGAGACAGGGTTTCAGCATGTTGGCCAGGCTGGTCTTGAACTCCTGACCTCAGGTGATCCGCCTGCTTCAGCCTCCCAAAGTACTAGGATTACAAGCATGAGCCACAGCACCTGGCCTTCATAGAGTTGTATTAATCTTCCTACTTGGGTAGGAAAGGGTTCAGAACAGTTTCTGACACACAATAAGTATTTAACAAATGCTTATTTATAAAGTTAGGACTCTTTTTTGAGACAGGGTGGAGTGCAATGGCACAATCATGGCTTACTGCAGCCTCTACCTCCTAGGCTCAAGCAATCCTCCAGCTTCAGCCTCTTGAGTAGCTGGGACAACAGATGAGCACAACCATGCCCAGCTAATTTTTATTTTTTGCAGAGACAGGATTGCCATGTTGCCCAGGCTTGTCTCAAACCTCTGGGCTCAAGCAATCCTGCCTTTGCCTCCCAAAATGGTGAAATAACAGGAATGAGTCAGTGCATCCAGCCCAGGACTATTTGTCCTCATATTCCCCCTCATACCTAGTTAAGTGTCTGACATGTAGATGCTCAGTGAGTGACTGATGATTTGGGTAGTTTTTGTTCTTTATACTGACCTTCACATTAGCCCCGATGTACTGGCATGGAGCTAGTTACCTGAGAGGGTCTCCACAAAGGTCTGAGGTTAGTAGCAGGTGATAAAAGGGGTTGCGGAGTCTGAATTCCTAGCTTAGGTGGTGGAGATGCTAAAAGAGAAACAAAGGCAGCAGAGTTGCTGAGGATAGGGAGTATGGCATTTATTAACCCCGTTTCCCCCTCACTGGTCACTGCTCTTGACTCGTAGGACAACAGGTACAGAACTGCAAGGGATCATCCCCAGCTCCGTGATCACCAAATCCACAAGCTCTGGAGGAGTTACATCATAAACTAGATTCAACAACCGCAGGGATGCGTAGTTCTGCCAGTTAGCCAGCGTGACATGTTCTCCCCGCTTATACTGCAGATCATCAGGGTCATCTGCAATGGAAGGTGTACCCATTATGTTCTTTCAGAAAAGAAGTTCCAGTTTAACCACCCCTCTCCCTCTCCCTCAAGTCTTAACAGGTAGCTGGAGGCTTCTCTTCTGCCCTCCTTACCTAGCTCATTAGAGACAAAGGCATCAGTCTGCACACGCTCACAGAACTTGTATGTTTCACAGCAAACCAGCACTGGCACATTATGGGCTCGAGCCACCAGGGCCAACTGTGCTGTCCCTACCCGAGACATCACAGACCCATTAGCCAAGAGTGCATGAGCTCCCAATAGCACCTTGGAAACCTGTTTGTTTCACAGGAGAAGGGGAAGAAAAGAATGTCATTGTTGTACCAGCGCAGAATAAGGTCCCCTACTTCCAGGAAAGCAACATTAAGACAATTAATAAAAACCTGTGAAAAGAAGGGAAGGAAAAAGAGACAAGTAATAAATCTTAATGATGGCTTTTCTTCTGTGAAAACACCTTAATGATGGTTCTTCTGTGAAAACACCTGCCCACTGACCCACCAAATCTCCCACAGGAACACTAAACTTTGAAGTTACTTTTGTCCTGTTCTCTCTTCATGGTTGCTAGTTTAATGTGATGAC